CTGGTCCCTCTTTTTTAAATATCTTAACAAATAAAAATCATTAATTTGTTGAATTTATGTTTATTAACCCATTACATGGAAGACATTGTTTGGCTTAAATGCTCTCAAGTTATATTTTTCGTTGAATTAATTTTGGTTGTTAAAATGTAACTACAAGTATATAAAGAGTCTCCAGAAATTTCAGACAATGCTTTCATTTGCTTTTGACTTTTTTTAGATCTGATTTTAACATTTCTTCACCAAACACACTTAGAATGCATGTGGTTTTCATTGTGGGTGGAGAGGGTACAGGCTGACAAATAAGGAACCACACCCAAGCTTCATAAACCAAATAGAGATTTTTTTTTATTCTCTACTGATACCCTGAAAAACATTTGAATTTGCTTTGGTATTTGTAGAAACTTCTCCATTAAAAAAATAAAATAAAAATAACATGGACATTTTATAGTAAGGTAGCTCCAGGTACAGTGTCTTGTCGAATTTGTGATTATTGATCATTTTGGCACATCATGAATCAAAATGTTTAACTATGAAATAGAGACTTGATTTCGAACCTGAGCTATGGAGAGATTATTTTTTCTGGAATTTTTGCCTGAGGATCTTTTTTAAAAATTTCTTTTTGGGGCCAGCAGGTGGCTTGGTGGTTAAGGGTGCTGGACTCCCACGTGGCAGACTGCTGTTCAAGTCCCAGACCTGGTGACTTACTTGCTCGCTCTCTCTCTCTCTCTCTCTCTCTCTCTCCCTCTCCCTCTGTGGTCAAATTGAAATAAATAAATGAAAGAATAAATAAAGTTAAATAAAATAATTTTTAAAAAATTTCTTAGAGTTAAGCCTTTTTTTTTTTCTTTCAGAAATAACCAGGGTTTGCACATTCCTCTCAAGCCTAAGTTTAATCCATGGACTGCTAATTATTAAAGGGTAAAACTTTAAAGAAACTTCTTATAACATGCACTACATTTGAAAATGGCTCCTCCTGGTTTTTATTCAGCTTTATATTGGGCCAAAAAGACAGAAGCTGATTCTGTGGGAGGGGCGTAATACAGATAAACTATTGAACACTATTGACAATGCTGGAGCAAGTCTGTGTTAGAACCATTTATTCAAATGTGATAATATATGTTAGCCAATATATTGGGGGAAATTTGTTGTGTGTGTGGGTTTTTTTTGTTTTTTTTTTTTTTTTCAGTTTTTGCTATAGGGCATGTGTACTCCCCAGAGAGAAAGAGAGAGAAGGAGAGCGAGAACTCACCTCGCAGGGAGAATGGCTATGTTGCAATCCCTTTTACTCCATTCTCTTCTTGGAATTTTGGGCACGTACACATGTGCATGCTCCTGGTGTGATTTTCAAGCTGCTGAGTCCAGGACTTGAACTGTGAAGTCATCCACGTGGGCTCCAGCTGCCATCCAGCCTCATACAGCTACTAAATGGTATAGGAAAATTAGATTTTAAATTTAAGGAAAAAATTGTTCTATCAAATCTAAATCCATTGGTACTGTTCTTTTTAGGTAAAAAGGAGGATGTTAGGATGCTTTTTTAAAATATAATTATTTAATTTTATTCATCATTATAATTTTAAATTTGACGGGGTGGATGAGAGCGAGAAAGCAAGCAGCCAGGTCTGGGATTTGAACCACAGTTGGCCATATGGGAGTCTAGTGCCTTAGCCACTGTGCTACCTGCTGGCCTCAGCATCCCTTTTACAGTATTTTCCACCACCAAAATTGTGATTCATTTTGTTTTCTTCATAATAATTTTTTTTTTAAAAGAAATCTTTATTATTATTATTATTATTTTTTTTTTTTTGAGAGGTTTTTTGCTATAGGGCGCGTGCGCTCGCCAGACAGGCAGAGAGAGACAGAGAGACAGAAAGCGAGAAATCACCCCCCCAGGGGGGATGGTCACACTGCAATCCCTTCTCCTCCAATCTCCTCTCGGGATCTTGGGCACGCACGCACACGTGCCCGGCGTGAGTTTTAAGCCACCGGGTCCGGGACGCGAACCGCGGTCAACTACGTGGGAGTCCAGCGACATAGCCATTACGCTAACTGCTGGTTCCCCATAATATTGTTTTTTAATAGATTTATTTTTATTTATAAATTAAACAGTAAACAATCAAATACCTTCAGGCTATGTCAGACTACATATACACCCATATATCAGCAATTTAGTTAAAGATTTTTGAAAAATTTTTCTTTTTAAGAGGACACATGTGCTTGCCAGTGAGAAAGGGAGAGGAGAGAAATAAAGCATTCCCCAGTACAGTGTGGTCATGCCACTCTCCCAACCATTAGGCTACGGGGCTGACCCAATAACATTTTTTTTTAATTAAATCTTTTTTTTTTAAAGAATTACTTATTCAATTTTTTATTTATTTTAATTTGACCAGAAAGAGAGAGAGAGAGAAGGAAAGTGAGAAAGCAAGCCACTAGGTCTGGGACTTGAACCGTTGAACCGCGGTCGGCCATGTGGGAATGTCCAGTACCTTAACCACCACGCCACCTGTTGGTCCCCCAATAACATTTTTTTAAAGCTTATTTCTTCCGCGAGAGAAGAGAGAAGAGAGACATGCACTCACAACAGGATCCCCTGCCATGATCTACTCTTAGTCTCAGCAAGCCAGGACTACAGATGTGTATGCCGGTTGTATACAGGGAGACCTCAGCACGCAAACCTGGGACCTTCCCATGTGTTTTCAGCCAATTGTAGAGCATTGTTTTATTGCAGTGTCATCTCAGCAGGCCTAACGTTTTGATGATATATTTCTAATAATTCTATGCACATGTAGTAAACACATAAACAGCGGCTCATAATACTGTTTTATAATCTGTTCTTTTTAGGGAACCAGCAGTTAGCGTAATGGCTATGTCACTGGACTCCCACGTAGTCCACCGCGGTTCGTGTCCCGGACCTGGTGGCTTAAAACTCACGCTGGGCGCATGTGCGTGTGCGCCCAAGATCCCAAGAGGAGAATGGAGGAGAGGGGATTGCAGCGTGACCATCCCCCCTGGGGGGTGATTTCTCGCTTTCTGTCTCTATGTCTCTCTCTGTCTGTCTGGCGAGCGCATGCGCCCTATAGCGAAAACCTCTCCAAAAAAAAAATTATAATCTGTTCTTTTTAAACTTAGATTAGAAGAGACACTTCCCTTGACATCAAATATTTGAATATATTTTAGTTGTCTGCATATAATTGTATTGCAAGGCTTTTTCATATTTAATCAGTTCTGTTGTATATTCAAATCATTTCTAGTTTTCCTGTATCATTACAGCGCTGCGTTGAACTCTCTTGTGTATGGATCTAAATAGGTCTGTGATATTTTTCAAGTTGGATTCCTAGATGGGAAAGAATTGTACTGTGTTATGCTTTACATTTTTCTTATTTTATTGCTAGAAGGCACAGTTGTTTACCAGAAAGAGAAAAAAGAGAATGCACCCTTTGATGGGTTCTGGTCACACTGCAATACCCTTTTTCCCATTTCTTCATTCCATCAGGATTTTAGGCACACATGCACATGTGCCCAGCATGTTTTTCAGGCTACTAGGGCCAAGATTTGTACTGTGGTCAGCTATGAGTGATCTGGCTTTCTATGCACAGCACTTAACCTCTGTAGTATGGGGCTGGCCTATATACATTCTTAATTTATATATATGAATATAAGATCTTGTTCTCTCTTTTTTTTTTTTTTTTGGAGAGGTTTTTCGCTATAGGGTGTGTGCGCTCACCAGACAGACAGAGAGAGACATAGACAGAAAGTGAGAAATCACCCCCGGGGGGATGGTCACGCTGCAATCCCCCCCCCTCCATTCTCTTCTTGGGATCTTTTTTTTTTTTTTTTGAGAGATTTTTGCTATAGGGCGCATGCGCTTGCCAGACAGACAGAGAGAGACAGAGAGACAGAAAGCAAGAAATCACCCCCCAGGGGGGATGGTCACGCCGCAGTCCCTTCTCCTCCATTCTCCTCTTGGGATCTTGGGCACGCACGCACACGCGCCTGGCGTGAGTTTTAAGCCACCGAGTCCGGGACGCGAACCGCGGTCGACTACGTAGGAGTCCAGCGACATAGCCATTACGCTAACTGCTGGTTCCCTTGTTGTCTTATTATAAAAAAATGTAATACTGTTTTGTGCAGATAGAGTTGTGTGTGTTTGCTCCATGGTATTTCATAGTATGTATACATAGTATTTATTTTTTAATTAAAACTTGCCTTTATTTACAATATCTTTCTTCAGAGAACAATGTATTTTTATTTATATTTATTTATTTATTTGGTGTTTGCCCTAGGGTGTGTATGCTCACCAAAGAGAGACAGAGAGAGGGAAAGTGAATAATCACCCCAGTCCCCAGGGGATGGCCACGCCGCAGCCCCTTCCTTTCTCTGGATTTGGGCACATCTGCACATGTACTTTGTGGGAGTCCAGTGCCCTGACCACCACACCACCTGCTGGCCGCACAGCACTTTATTTATTTATTTATTTCCTTATTGAATTGCCTCCGACTGCCCATAACACAAATGGTATGTAATGGACATCTCTGTAATGCACATTCTATGTGTTTATTCATTCCCTTAAGAGCCTGCATGGCAGTTCCTCCAGTCATTATACCTAGGGGTGGTATTTCTGAGTCACAGGATATGTATATTTATTTTCACCAAATGTTCTCTTTGTCTAGCTTTTTAAAGCTTATTTATTTTTTCCATGAGAGAGAAAAGTAGAGACAGAGACATGCATCCCCACAAAAGCTCTTCATACCATTATTTACTCCAAGTCTTAGCTAGCCTAGATTATAGGCCCCGCGTGTTCAGGTAGTCCCAGGAAGGAGACCCAGGAGGGTCCGGTTGTGTTACTGCTACGCTACTGCCCGATTCCTGTGTAGCTTTTGCTATGTATTAACTGTCCTCCAGAAAACTAGGACCAATTTATATTCCTACCTGTAGAATAGGAGAATGTGAAAGTAGCAAATTTTAACTCCAAAACTAATACCCATTCTTTTCTTTGTTTCTAGCAGCCATGGCAATGACAGGTTCGACACCGTGCTCGTCCATGAGTAATCACACAAAGGAAAGGGTTACGATGACCAAAGTGACGCTGGAGAATTTTTATAGCAATCTTATTGCCCAACATGAAGAACGAGAAATGAGGTAAAAAATTTTGTTGGAAAGAATTGTGTCATATCTACACTATGGAGTACTAGTTGGTCATAAGGAATATTGAAACACTGATTTGTCTCAAAGTGGCTGAATATGGAAGACTCAGTGCTAAGTGAAGTAAACCAGACTTTGGAAGATGTGTCTTCAAAGTCCTGATATATACCAACCGTCTGCACTCTATGGCAGACATGGAAAGATCTGAAAATCTGATACTAGGAAGTCTAGGTGTCGATACCGGAGTCTGGAGGGGAGAGGAGTGTGTGGTAAAGGATGGGTGAGAGGGGCAAAGGGAAGACCTGAACCCAAGAATGTAAAATTCTCTATTGAAAATAATGGAAGTGGTATATCCTTGATTTGACTGTCAAAAAATGTGTTCTCTTATGGCATTCATATCTAGTATCATAAAACATGCTCATAACATTGTTGAAAGAAGACAGGAATAGCAGCGGCCATGGTATAACCTGTCCCATTCCAATGGAATGATGAGTTACCAGATTTCCAAAGTCCTTACCATTAACCCACTTATTTCTACTAGTTAGTAATGTAAAATTCTATTGTTGTGTAAAAAGAAAAAAATTGAGCTATGCCCTGCTGTGGTAGCATGTACTAGATTCAGTTGCTTGGCAAGCTGAAGCCACATGAGAGGTTCGGTTTTCAATTCCTGGCCCACCCTAAAAAACAGGCATAATGACTCACATCTCCAATCCCAACTAAGGATTGCAACACTGTAAGACCCTCTCTTAAAAAAAAAAAATTGGGCCTGGGCCAGCAAGTGGTATGGTGGTTAAGGCACTAGATTCCCACATAGCTAACCGTAGTATGAGTCCCAGACCTAGTGGCTGGAAAGTCACGGCTGGTGTGTGTGCATGTGTGCCCAAAATCTTGAGAGGAAAATGGAGAAGAGATTGAGGTGTGACCATCCCCACTGGCAGGTGATTTCTCACTTTCCCTTTTTTTTTTGTCTCTTTCTGGTGGTGAGTGCACATACCTGTGGCAAAAACCTGAAAATAAATAAATGAAAATTGGGCCAGATCTTGGAGTTGATTGTTAAGACAGTGAAGGAAGTATAATAATGGCATGATTAGCACCTTTGGAGTCAGACCTGACTTTAGAATCCTTCCTACACTGTTTAGTAGCTGTATGAGGTTAGAATAAATTCCTTTGTCCTTGTTTATCAGTTCTCACACTAAGAGAATGGGGCTAATACTAGTTGTGTTTGTAGATTGCCGAAGGAATTAGCTATAACACCCACTGTAGTGTTTCATACATAGTAATCCCTTAGTTAATGGTATTCATAGCAGCTGTTATTACTGATTTGTTATATCCAGTTCATACTCAGAATTTTAAAGTTTTCACCAACATTTTATTATAAAAGTTTTCAGAAGGGGACCAACAGTTGGCATAATGGTTGTGCCATTGGACTCCCACGTGGTCCACCATGGTTCAAGTCCTGGACCTGGTGGCTCAAAACTCACGCTGAGTGCATGTGTGTATGTGCCCAAAATCCCAAGAGGAGACTGGAGGAGAAGGGATTGCGGCGTGGCCATCCCCCCGGGGGGTGATTTCTCACTTTCTGTCTCTCTGTTTCTCCGGCGAGCACACATGCCCTATTGGAAAAATCTTTCAAGGGAAAAAACGTTTTCAAAAGTACAGAAAAATAGAAAGAATTGTGTGTGAGTATATACATACATATATACTTATGCACATACATGTATACTTTGCCAGAGGGATTCATGTGTACATCAGGAAGAGAAAAAATACACCTCCTAGAGGGGCCTGGCACATCCCAATCCTTTTTCCTCCGATTCTCATCCTGTGAGGATTCTGTGCATGTGTGTTTACATACGTCCTCGTATGTTTTTCAGGCCAGCAGGGTCAACACTTGACTCTGTTCAGCTTAGTGGGATACTGCTGCTTCTGTTCAGCACCTGACTGCTGCACTCAGGGCTGGCCCATGTTATATTTGTTTTATCACATGTCCACTGTCCATTCCTCTATCCTGTCATTTATCCAGATTAATTTTTTACTGTACTTTAAAATGTAGATAGACATCAATACATTTAATATTTCTGCTTATATGGACCAGCAGATGGCATTACATCGCTGGACTTCCACATAGTTGACTGTGGTTTGAGTCCTGGACCCGGCAGCTTCAAACTGAGGCCAGGCACATGTGCATGCATGCCCCAAATCCTGAGAGGAGAATGGAGGAGAAAGGAATGTGGCCTGGCCATTCCCTCTGGGGGTGATTTCTTTCTTTATGTCTGTCTGTCTTTCCTGCAAGAGCATGTGCCCTATAGCAAAATCTCTTGGGAAAAAAAATTTCTGTTTGTATAACATTCACTAGAATTCAATATCACACATATATATGCTTTTTTTTTTTTTTTTGGAGAGATTTTCACTGTAGGGCGCGTGTGCTCGCCAGACAGACAGAGAGAGACATAGAGACAGAAAGCAAGAAATCACCCCCCAGGGGGGATGGTCATGCCGCAATCCCTTCTCCTCCATTCTCCTCTCGGGATCCTGGGCACGCACGCACACGCGCCCAGCGTGAGTTTTAAGCCACCGGGTCCGGGATGTGAACTGTGGTCGACTACGTGGGAGTCCAGTGACATAGCCATTACGCTAACTGCTGGTTCCCCATATATATGCTTTTTCATAGGTGTAAGATTATGTACAATGAAATGCACAGGTTGAACACCATCCGTGTACACTGTTTTTTTTAATTGCCAGAGGGCACTTATGCTTACTGTAGATGGAGGGACAGGGACGGGGTGGAGGAAACACTCAGGACGTGGTCATGTTGCAGTTCCTTCTCCGCCCTTCATCCTGTCTGCGCTGAGCACTCATGCACACACGCCTTATGTGTTCTTAAGCCACTGGGGCCTGAACCGTAACTGTGGTTGGCCATGTGGGATCCAGCTGTCCTACCACAAGGCCTCAAGGCCAGCCTTGCATATCCTTACATAGCTTAGACCCCTATTAAGAGATAGAATATTACTATCCTCCCAGAGAGTAATTTTATTTCAAAAATTTTTCCAGAGGGCATGTACACTTGCCGGAAAGGAAGAGACAGAGGGAAAAAGCACATCATAGAGGGCATGGGCAAGGCACAATTCTTTTTCTTCCATTTCTCACTCCTTTTGGGATTTTGGGCATGCATGCACGCGTGCCCAGTCTTTCTCAAATCAGATGACGTGGTCAGCCATGTTGGATCCTGCTCCCACCAGACCACAGGCTGACCCCTTTTATGCCTCTTGCTCTTTCAACCTCAAGCAACCACTGTTTGGATTTTGTTTCTTTTCTTTCTTTCTTTTTTTTTTGGAGAGGTTTTTGCTATAGGGCGCATGTGCTCGCCAGGCAGACAGAGAGAGACATAGAGACAGAAAGCGAGAAATCACCCCCCAGGGGGGATGGTCACGCCGCAATCCCTTCTCCATTCTCCTCCTGGGATCTTGGGCACGCACGCACACGCTCCCGGCGTGATTTTTAAGCCACCGGATCTGGGACGGGAACTGCGGTCGACTACATGAGAGTCCAGCGACATAGCCATTACGCTAACTGCTGGTTCCCATTTCTTTTCTTTTTTAAAAAAATAATTATTTATTTAATTTTATTCATTCATTCACTTAAGCCACCAGATCCGGGACCCAAATTGAAACTGGCCATGTGAGACTGTCCAGCGCCTTAACCACCATGCCCCCTGCTGCCCCCACCCCAACCCCCGATTTTGTTTCTAGTATAGTTAGTCTGGCCTGTTTAACACAAGTTTAACATAAGCTTTATGTTAAACTTGTGTTAAACAGGATGGGACAGCAGTTGGCGTAATGACTCTGTTGCTGTACTCCCATGTAGTCGACCGCAGTTCGAGTCCTGGACCTGGTGGGTTAAACTCATGTCGGGAGCGTGTGCGTGCGTGCCCAAGATCCTGAGAGGAGAATGGAGGAGAAGGGATTGCAGCGTGGCCATCCCCTCTAGGGGGTGATTTCTCGCTTTCTCTCTCTCTCTGTCTTTCTGGTGAGCACATGCGCACTATAGCAAAAACCTTTCCCCCGCCCCCTCCCCCCCCAAAAAAGCTGTAAGTAGGACAAAGATTCATTGAGTAAAGCATCTTTCACTCAGCATGATTTTTTTTTTCAAGAGGGATTTTTGTTATAGAGCGCATGCATTCACTGAAAAGACAGAGAGACAGAAAGTGAGAGATCATACCCCCGAATGGATGGCTGCTTTGCAATCCCTTTTCCTCCATCCTCTTCTCAGGATCTTGGGCGCACACACACACGGGCTTGGCATGAGTTTAAGCCACCAGGACTGGAACTGTGGTTGGCTGTGTGGGAGTCTAGCAATGTAACTGTTATGACATCTGCTGGCCCCCCAAACATGATTTTTTTTAGGTTCATCTGTGTTGCTATGTATAGTAAAATAGACAGATACTGGATATCCTGTGAGTACCTTTCTATTTTCTCATCGTAGCTCAGTTTATTTGTTCATTCTCCTTTTGATGTGTATCTGGGCTTTTTAAAATTTTTGGCTATTTTATTTATTTTTTTAAAGAATCATTTATTTAATTTTGTTTATTCATTCTTTTTTTTTATTTGACCAGAGAGAGACAGAAACAGAGGAAGAAAGCAAGCCACCAGGTCCAGAACTTGAACCGTTGTCGGTCATGTGGGAGTGTCCAGTGCCTTAACCACCACACCACCTGCTGGCCTCCAGTTTTTGGTTATTTTGAATAAGCTTTATGAACATTCACCTTTTTTGTGAATATTTTTTTTCATTTCTTTGGTAAATACCTAAAGGTAGAAGTGCTGAATCATAAACATGCGTGGGTATATGTTTAGTTTTATAAGAAACCGCTAGATCTTTCTTCCAAAATGTTACCAACAATATACCAGAGTTTCAGTTGCTTGGCATTTTTGCTGATGTTTATGGTGCTGGTGCTCTTCTGGCCATGCTTACTGGTATCTCACTGTGATTTTAATTTGCATTTC